CTCAAAGATCGGACCTTCTATTGAAAAATATTTATTTTATGCTTATATTAAAAAAATAAAAATCTGAATTTTTTTTTGAAATTAGGTTTGGTAAGTGAATATACGGTGTTCTACACTCTCGGTATTTGTAAGTGCAAAAATCGTTATATAAAAATACACTGCAAATATGGTAGGCAGCATATACGGTAAGTTGCAAATACTGTAGGCAACATATATGGTAAGGTGAAAATATGGTAAGTTGTTTGCAAATGCGGTAAGCTGAAAATACGGTAGGCAGCGTATACGGTAAGATGAAAATACGGTAATGTAAAAATACGGTAAGTTGTTTGCAAATACGGTAGACTGTAAATACGGTAAATTGCAAATACGGTAAGTTGTTTACAAATACGGTATGCTACAAATACGGTAGGCAACATATACGGTAAACTGCATATATGGATTTATAATTTGTTATAAATGTATAAAATTTAAAAAAATAATCTTCACATTCAATTCAATCATATCAACACTATCAAAGAATACAAACAAAATAGTTTGTATATTTCTTATTCAAACATGAAATATACAAACATATATTTTTTTAGAAAACACAATACTGTTGCAATTGTAAAAATAATTTTCAATTATTTTCTTATATTATGGAAATATTTCTAGATATTGCTTCAAAAACATTCCAAAAAACTAAAATTCACACGTTAATATCAACCATAAATATCTTTTAAGACGGTTAAGTGATCTTCTATAAACCTGTCATTTGTAGTGCAATGAGAATACAGCCATTGCTTCAGATGCAACTTACTGATTAGGCTTTTCGTCATGCATAATTTCTCCTATTTTAATCATAATGTAATGACTTTTTTTTCTCCTTTTAGAACGTGTTGTAATATTGGATTTGATAGATAAAGATGAATTTGAGATGGGGTATGTCAATTCTTAAGTTATTTTTTCTCCTGCGTCTAACATAACAGCATCTTATCAAACTCTAACAGGACATTGTACTTCGTAGTTGCTACCGTTAAAAGTCAAATCTTGCTCTGATACCAGTTTGTTACGATAAAGCGAGAATAGGCAATAGGTTGGAGCATGGTCGGCAGCTAATAATATAATACAATCCACCAAAAATAATTGACGAAGTGGACCAAGTGCCTTGAATGAACTTCCTGTAATTGCTCAGGTTGCTTAGCAAGCCAAACATTAAAGAGTGAAGAGGACTCGGCCCTTCTACTAGTCAACCTCGGTTTGGCCAATCGTCAGCCTGGCCATGGGTGTTGGATCTAATTCCACCCCATAACTCAAATATTTGCAAAAATGAAATATGACTTGGTTGCTGCCAAGGCATAAGAATAATATATAGGGAATGCAGTGGCAATTCGGACCACCTTTGAGCTTCTGTTTTCCTCATCCTTGGCTTCAAATTGATACGTGAGCAATGTAGGGAATATCAAGGCCATGACCTGCCATATCTGTCACAACCAAAATTAGTGTGTTTCCACTTTTAAACGATTTCAATGCTAGTTCTCTTTCTTGGAACAACAGGTAAATCAAAGTCAAATCAAGTAATAATCAATGTAGGCGTAATGATACAACGTTTACGCAACTAAAGAATAAAATGATTCAATAAAGTCAAAGGGAAACACAACCTTTTAAATTGCAAAATTATATACATTATTTAGTAGGTGAAGTTCCAATCTACAAATAAGGGTACTGTGGTAAAAATAGGCAAAATATAATATGAAAAAATTCTGAAATCAACAAGTGTAAAGTTTAATAATAGAACTCACATAAAATAGGAATTACAGTAAAACATAATATAAAGAATTTTCCTAAAAATGCCGAATTATTTAAATCAAATTATTCTTAATGCAACTCTCTAAATTTCAAGGCATATCAAAGAACAAGCACATTTACATATCACAATTTCGATTTATAGCAATGCCAGTAAATAAATTTTTTTTTAACCCATCATCTTCAAAACCCCAAATGTATCAAAAATCCATTCACATTAAAAAAACTCAGCTAAAACTAAACTAAATATACAAATAAATCACGAAATCATAAAAAAAATGCAATTTTTACAAATTTTTATTATAAAACTATAGTAATGGAAGCACAAAATCACATTTTAAAATAACAAAAAAGAAAAAAAATCATAGAAAAAATTACCTTTTTTGTTGTCTTAACTTGTACCAAAGAGAGGGTAAAGTAATGTGAAATAAACTAGAGTAAAAATTTTTTTTTTTGTAATATTGAATAGAAAAAATTACCTTTTTTGTTGTCTTAACTTGTACCAAAGAGAGGGTAAAGTAATGTGAAATAAACTAGAGTAAAAATTTTTTTTTTTGTAATATTGAAATATAGTGAAAATTAAGGTGAAGAAGATGGGTTTGGAATTCAAGTTTGGGGAATAGGGTTTCACAGGAAAAGGGAAGAAGAAAGAAGAAGGTGAAATGAAAGAAGTTGGGTGAATAATTTGATATAAATTGAAGGACAATTTTGTCATTTTATCAATTAAAACATTTTAAATTTTTTTATTCCATTTTAATGATGGTCAAAGGCTATTTGTCCAAAATCATTGTCCAAGTGGGTCATCTGGCCAAATTCCCCTAAAATTAATGTTGACTTTAACTTAAAGTGAAATCTAAATTATAATTTCTACCAAACATAGGCTAAGGTAGTATGCCTTTGTAATGGAGGTGAAGTGAGGAGGGCATTTGGGGATAGTGAGAAGCTGAGTTTGAGGGTGTAAACATACCACTCTCTCTGAGCATTAGAGGTCCAAGTAAGACAAATTGAGTACAACCCACGTGAGCCTGGCCATCCAGGGAGCAATGTGTTAAGAAAGGAACGTCCTATGTATGTGACTAGGATTAATCTCTTCTACCAGGCTGACCCTCAACCAGGTGTTTTACAGGTGAGTGAAGAGGTGGGTCCCCAGCTCAGTAAAATAATGCCCAAAAATATGCCCACTGGCCCCACCCCCATGTTTTGAGTCACAGCCTGTAAAAGACCTATCAAAATGAGCCTGGCACAGCAGCTCGGTCCATGTGACTAATACTAGATGCCTAGAATTTCCAAATCCAACCCATGACAGACTAGTCAACTGTAGAATCTTCCTTCCTTTCAATGAAACAAACAAACCCTTCCATCTTCCATAAATTCCTATTCACCCACACGTATCTTTGATGTATATATAAATATTACAAGATGATCCCTGGTCAGGAACAAATTCAGGGATGAAATTAACAATAGGAGAATGGTGCATGCTTTTAAATGAATCAAAATTAGTAGCTATTATGATCTATCAACCAATTTACTTCAGTGCATAGACTAATTGGGATTTTTATACACAAAACTAACGGCCAGTTGATATTTATACTAATGAATAGCCACAGCAGCAGACAGACAAGGAAGACAAGCTAACGCAAAATGCCAACATAGCCCACAACAACAATTCCAAGTGCAATGACAAGAAAACTTTTTAGAATCTGCGCAGTTTCATACCAGCTAAGATTTCAGCGCACGACAATGTTATCATTATGACTCATATGAACAAACTATATTTCAAAGGAGTGCGCCTCTATAGTAGAAAATTTATTGCCCCCACTCTAAAAGCATGTGCATAATAAGAACAAATGCATTTCTTGGTTCACGTGAGCCATATTAAAGAGGTCTTTATATATTTACAAACCAATGGTATACAGATAAAATCAGACAAGCTTTTCTGGTATTTCAACAAAAGAACTAATTAAAAACCCAGATGAGAGGCAAAAATGGTGAAACAAGAAACAAGAAGTTTATAATATGGCCTCTCATAAGGGATGCAGACGGCCTCAGCTTCCCATAACCCAAAAATGCACTGCAATGGTCCATATTAAGTGACTTGTATTGGTAAGATGTGTTAAGGTATCAATAGTATAACTTTTAGCATAGACCGCTTAAACTTTACAGTTCATCATGTCTCGAAACATATCCTGCAGAGGAAAACACAAATGCAGTTTTCAGAAAAGAATGAAAATATAGAGTTCTTGATATTGGCAAATGAATATTTAAAAAGCTTTTCATTTTAGTTGAAAACCTACAACTATGATTACGAGCTTATGTTTTTAGCTTGATCATATTTGGTCAAATAACCAAAGATTTCAGCCATTACTGGAAACTATAAATATTGCATCCAAAGGAGCAGTTGCTACGATTGTTCATACTGATTACGAAAATAGGAAGAGGTTGATAATCATAAGAAACGAAGCAAAAAGACAGAACAGAGAGAGAAAGTGGCTAGGTTTTCAATGAACCAAAATGCTTAACTTTTAAATGAATAATACAATAGTTTAAATAGTCTAACCGCTATGAAAATGTCTAAACTACCCTAACTAAACAAGCAATATAACAAGAATACCCTTATAGCAATATAATACATATCACAAACACAAAACATAAATGTAATAAATAAATAATCTCACAGAGTTAAGTTCTTTGAGACAAAGGTTGATGTCTTCCTGTTGTCTTTTTTGTCTTTTTCTCTTAGAGATGCAATGAAGTACAGACATAAAGAATGCAGCGTTTTCAAGAATTATAGAGTGACAACTTTCTCGTCACTTCAACAAAATAGAATATAATGGGAAATCTACATTTTGCAGAATAGATGACAAAAATTGATATATTTTTGTTCTTTGGAGGTGGTGGTGGTCTTATACTTCTCTTACCAGTTATTTGACATGTACCATCTTTGTGGAGACTGAGTAACATATCTAAATATATCTCTATGATATCTAGGCTTTACACATCGACAAATGCATCACACTAACACTTACCAGTTCCACACACAGTCCAGGAGTAACAAATAAATCGCTAATCAAAATGTCACAGTTATTTATGCAAACTCGGTTTCAATAAGATAAAGACTTGTGTTGAAATCAGTCACAAATCTTATTGGATCGTCCTCCTTTTCAAATTTGTACACATGGAAATGATATTCATTTTGTAGAGACTGCTAAGCTGCACATGCAAGAATCTATAGATAGCAAAGTTGTAATGGAAGATAAGAATATATCAAGTCCCCACCTCACCTTAAAACCCGATGCCAAAATCCATTCAAGAAACAATATTAAAATGCAGATCACAGCATATACACATATAAGCACTAAGGAAACCAAAATCAAGGCAGAATGCTATTATCAAGTAAGGTCTAGACAGAATTCCACAATTATTCTACTGACTAACATCCGTTTAAGTAGTTCAAATAATATGACAATGTTTTGAATTGTCTTACTAAAACAATACTATACAGAGAAGTCATTTAAAAGCTATATATTTTGAAGAATTTAAGTAGAGATAAAGGTTTGACCTGAAGATGACTTGTTAAAGAAAAAAGTTATCTCTCTATAAGCAGATTGGGGTGAATCTGAACCATGAACACAATTTCTTTGTAAGTCCAGCCCGCACATGGCTCTGATGCTGGGAAAAAGCAGAGACAACCAAAACAACAAATTAAGCCAAAAAGAACAAGACCTGATCAACAAAAAGTACACAATTTCATAATTTCTGTTATGAAATTATAGGTGATGCAAGAATGGAAAATAAATAACCTGTTCGGATGAGTAACCTTAGCTTTATTTGCATCTGTTGGTCCAATCAAATTACGCCAGTCAGATATAGCATTCACCTTTTCTAAAACCATTATCAACACTGGACCACTAGTATAATGAGAGGAGGGAGAGCATTAGTGGGAACTCAAACTTTGAAAGGTTAGCAGAAGAACACAGTCAGCAGTAGGCACAATAGTAAGTATCAAATTTACTGACATTTTGTAGATGATTAGACCTATTGCTATCAGCGAGGGTGGAAGGAAAAAACAACTCCACCAATTTCTATTTTGAAAACACGACACAAAATCAACATTTAACACTTAAAAAGCTACAATATGTTTGATGTGCATGCTAAATCTTCCAACATGCAAGACAAAGAGAAATTTTTCACGTACTTTACATTGAAATTAATCTATAAAGAAAGTATCTCGAGATTGTGCCAAATTATGCAGTACCTTGACATGTATTGGACAAGGCTTGGGAAGAAGCTCTTTGTAGCATGCTCTGCATAAAAACTTCGAACAGTTTCCTCATTTAGCTCAAGCAGCATTTCCTGGGTTATGCTAAAGCCAGAATAAAAAATGGCTGTCTTTATAACATCTGAATAGTTACCAGCAACTCCATCTGGTTTTATCATAGCCAAGGTCTTCTCTTTTTCTGTACTGACATTTGCCCATATCCTATTCGTCTCACAGCATTAAGAAAGAGTGAGGACATGGCAGAGTTTGCAAACTATTTGAGGAAATGGTATTAAAAAATTCAACAAAAACGAAATACAAGTATATCAAAAGGACACTTGTTTATTTAGCACATTTTTGAAACAAACCCGAGTGAATCAGAAAGTAATAAGAGAAAGCAGCTGACTTCAACCTTCAACCACTCAAGAAAACGCAGCTAAAAATACTTCTGCTAAAATACCAAAGGCAAATGCAGTCTCTGCATTGGCAATAGCAATCAGGAATGCCAAAATCAAAACCTTGTAAACTAATGGGTTAACGTTATATTTTCAACATGGCCAAAGGACTTATAATCCCTCGATCTCTTTGTTACAGCTGAACCATTTACATATTTTATGTTTTCCAACCAATAAACAGGAAACAAGAATTTTAGGGTAAAATAATAAAATGTTACCCAATGTAAGGACCTCAAAGAACAATTAAATAGGAAAAGTTCAAAATCAGAATTTCATGAAAAATATAATAAAATTCAATGAGTAGATTTTCATGATAAAAATAAATATTACTTGTCAAAATAAAAATGAAATTACTCAAATCCATATTAAATTTTAAAATAAAAAAATAGAGACCACATAGCAAATCAACAAAATCGAATTTTAGCAATCATTGACCAAGCAACTAGTTAAGTCAAAACAAAACTAGTAAGCTAGAGCAAAATGATAAAGACCTGAACATCTACGAGAAAACCCTAGATTAGTAGTGATTCCGCTCACCTGTGGGGAAGACGGAGAGTGGACACCAAAAGGCACAGAAACAAGAATCTCGAAAACAACCGAATGAATTGGAGATCCATGTGAGAATTGAAGAAAGAGGAAGAGTAAAAGAAATCAAATTTAACAGTAATTTATTTTTACCATTAATTAAGTTGGCAGGAGCAGGAAAAGCAACGTGTATTTTCATTTTTCACTCTCCCAATCCTCAAGTTTATCCGATTACTATTTTTTACCGGTAAATATTTTTTTATGAAAAATCTCATTTCTTCACTCAAATTTTTACTTTTGGAATATCAGTACATGCAAAAGTTCATTTGAATTTTGAGAGTTATTTGATTGATAATTATTCTTCATGAAAAATATTTTCATCTAACCATATTTTCCTTGAAAAAAAAAGATTTTACTTTTCAAATAATTCACTCTCGTTTTCTTTCTCATATACCTATCAATAGAAAATGGAGAAGTATATTTTCTCGATTGAAAATAAAATCAATCAAACACGTGTAATTGATAATTTTGAAATAATCTATAATTTATTTTCTTTCTATATAAATTTCATAGTCGCAATTAAACACACACTTAAAGTGCGTTTGATTTTCAATATTTTTTCATGAAAAATATTATTTTTAATCCAAATTACTACTTTTATACTGTTTGATTGATATTTTTTCACAAAAATATATTTTTATACTTTTGATCACGTGATCATATTTTATTGAAAACAAGAAAAATATTTTTTTAGTGAGTTGGTTTTTATTCTCTAGATAATTCACTATTTCTCTCTCTCATCTATCCCATATCTCTCCTATTTGCTTATCAATAAAAAATGGACAATTATAACTTTTTTAGGTTGAAAATAAAATCATCCAAACACATGTAATTGACAACTTTTATACAAATAATTTAGGGTTTGTTTGATCGGAAGTATAGAATTTATATGGAAAGAAAATAAATTTTAGGTAATTCAATTGTTTAAAACTTATTTGTATGAAAATTATCAATTAAATGTGTTTGATTAATTTAATTTTCAATATAGAAAATGGTATGCTTGGTCTTTTTTTTATTTGTGGGTAGATGGAAGAGATGGGAGGGAGATGAGAGAGAAAGAGCGAGAATTACTTGAAAAATAAAAATTTGATTTCCCTAAAGAAAACATTTTCCTCTTTTTCAAAGAAAATATGGTCATGTGACTAAAAGTAGAAAAATATTTTTTTATGAAAAAGATATCAATCAAATAGTATAAAAACAAGAATTTTGGTAAAAAAATGACATTTTTCATGAAAAATATTGATAGTTAAATGTATCCTTATTTTCTTTCAATGTAAATTCTATACTCGCAATCAAACATACCCCCATACAAATTAGAAACTTGGAAGAAGTAGATTAAACTTTATCTCAAATTGCATTGAATCTCTTTGTGCAATAATTCGCATATATTTTCAATATAGAAAATGGTATGCTTGGTCTTTTTTTTATTTGTGGGTAGATGGAAGAGATGGGAGGGAGATGAGAGAGAAAGAGCGAGAATTACTTGAAAAATAAAAATTTGATTTCCTTAAAGAAAACATTTTCCTCTTTTTCAAAGAAAATATGGTCATGTGACTAAAAGTAGAAAAATGTTTTTTATGAAAAAGATATCAATCAAATAGTATAAAAACAAGAATTTGGGTAAAAAAATGACATTTTTCATGAAAAATATTGATAGTTAAATGTATCCTTATTTTCTTTCAATGTAAATTCTATACTCGCAATCAAACATACCCCATACAAATTAGAAACTTGGAAGAAGTAGATTAAACTTTATCTCAAATTGCATTGAATCTCTTTGTGCAATAATTCGCATAATGAAATTAAAATTTATTAAGGATAAAGTTTAGACATGTGCGTATGACTTTGTTCCGGCCAATGGATCATATTTGCAAGTGCTTAAATTACTGCATTGTCCCATAAAGATATGTTTTTTATTTTTCACATAAATTAAAAAAATATAATTAATATAGTAAAAAATGTAAATTTTTCTTATATTTATCCTAATATACACATGTATTAAACAATAATTTAAATATGATTAGTTTATATTTGTTGATAACAATGTATATTAAAAACAGGTATATTCGAAACTACAAAATATTTGTATTTTCAATAAGAAAAGCCACCTAAAATGTGGGACAAAAGAAGGAGATCAAGCCTATCTTTTATGGGACATAGGTAGCATTAAAGTTTAAATAATCATAAGTTGTGAATCTTATAAAATGTGTAAATTATAAATTGGTAGTTTTGAGTCATATAAAATATATGATCATCTTAAATTCTAATTTAAGGAACAATGCTCCAGGTTGTTTCCAGACATCTTGGGAGTTTTCTCAAGGTATCCTCCTTGGGTTCCCTCGTCGGGCTTAATTGCCGCACGTGACGATTTCACGTTATCTTGGATTTTTACCTTTGTTCATTCTTTTCTCTATCACAAAAGACCTACTTTAGTAGGAGTCTATTTCGATCTTCAAATTCAACCATCTCTGATAAAATTGGATTCTACTAGTTTATAACTCCTACTCATATTGAAATACTTAGGTTTTTATACCTCTTAAACATATAGGCTTCAAGTATTCTAATCCTATCAAAAGTGTGATACCTACCTTTATAAATACAAGTTTTAAATCTTAAGTTTTTTACATTTAATTTATAGCCTTAAGCTTATATTTCCTCATTTCACTAACTTTAAGTATCAGAACGACAACAAGAGCACACCTTGACACCTTTGTTTGACGTACTGGAGTTTTCATTCCTGATCATCCTCAATCGTCAAGCTCGAGAATCAACCGGTGACGATTGTTGGTAACATCACGCAGTATAGCGGCAATGGCTATCAATTTAAAGATATGCTCAGAGGTGGAACATTTACTGCCCAAATCAATTCATGTCAAAATCATATGAAAGTAAAACTTGAGGGAACAACATGTTTGTGTATATACATAATACAAAGTTTAGTATACAATACTGTCAGTATAACAATACAAAATTTTAACTTCTTTTTTCTTGCACACAGAACTGCACTATTTTTAGCATTGATCACAAGAACAGAGATCACAGACATCACAACAAACATTCAAGCACTCAAAACATGCAAGCGCTGTGCACAGCTGTGTTAAAGCAATTGCAAACTGGTCATTAAGCCGATTGCAAAATTGTAGAAAACACATGCAGCAGCACCAATCGGCTAGTCTGCTACCAGCTTTTGAAGCGACCTTGAAAAGCATTGTTGAAGTTTCATATAACTTGGGTTCTGCTTTTTCTGGAGAAAGATTCTTAGCAGTGGCCTCCAAATTACCAAAGCCAGTACTTATATTTCGCAGGACAACGATCTTCTGCCCTTTGAAATCACCCGTTTTCTGCAAATCCATTTCATCAAGACGAGTTTCATCAAATTTCGTAAAACATATTTTTAATGAAAAAATTATTTTGACAAGTATTAGAATTTTCTTTCTGAACACAACTTGTTTTTTGGATACTTAACACGCAAAGAGACAGCAATAATTAAGCTAATCATAGATTAGAGGACTAAAAGTAATTAGAGCCAATCCAAATTATCAAGATGAAGAAAAATATAAATTTGATAAAAGGTCCATTGCTCTTCCTAAAAATTTTATCTTCTCAGCTCATGTGAGGATAACTGCAGTAGATGATCATAAAAATAGTGTGCAATTGTGCAAGACCTTACCTCCTCTATTGCATTTGATTTGGATTGCTGATTTCCTTTTTCGGTCTCAATTAAAATCATGTTTGTGTACTCCGAATGCACAGCTGTATGTATGCTCATTTTTGCAGCCTAATAAAATATGAACAGCTTAGGTCATCATGATTCGAGTTATCACGACTTATATACTTCGCTGGAAAAGAATAGTGTGCCTCCTGTTACGTAATTCATCTCCATCAATAGCAATTCACCATCATATTAGCATCAACTAATAGAATGGTAAAAAAATGATTATATGGCAAAACATGAAAGAAATTGCTATTGATGCTGATTTGCAGAAGCAGAAAAAAGTAATATATACAATTGCAGCATGATGTGGAATGAATTTGGTCAAATAGTACCCCACTCAGATCTATCTTCATTCAGATATCAAACGATCGATTTGTTACTTTTGTCTTACAATTCTCATTAAAATTGAGAATGAATTGACATACCTTCTCTTCTAGTTTGCTTCCTGACAACCATGCATGAGCTGTAAGTGCATCAATTTGTCTTCTTGCAAATACCTGCTGATATCTAAAGGAAACATTAGAGATTTTGTTCAAGTTTTTATTCATTCATCACTATCAAAATACAAAAGATAAAATAACAAAAAATCAAAAGTTCTTAACATGCGGATGGAGCATTTGCCAACTTTGTAAAAGTTTCAAATAATGGCTACTCTTAAAGTAGAGGCTTATATAATTCTGTACAGCTTTCTTTGCTTCTGAAAGTTTAAATCATCAAATCAAAATGAAAGACACGGTATGGTATGTCCAAAATACAAGGCACAACAACATGACATCAGAAGTCATACACTAACACGATTTGTCAGCATAGTTAAATGTTCAAATGACAACTCTCACAAATTACACCATTACTTTGTCAATAGGGACATCCTTCGCTTCTTGTACTTTAGCATTTATCACAAGATTGCTCAAATCTGCCAAGGTACCGCTGACTCTAACAGAGTCCGGAAAGTTCCCACAATATCTTCCCAACACATATAGAGGACTTCCAGATAGCAGGTCTGGAAGATGAAGTGAACATAACTGCAACGAAAAACATGCATAAAAATGTCATAGGTAGATGAATGCAAAGAAAATAAAATAGATGCAGCAAAATGGTTTTTTTTCCTTTTCCAAATGGCATCAACTTCCTCATTAAAGCATGTGAACAAGAAAATAGTCCATTAACATAATTTAGATACACGGCAGCACCTGTACAATTATGCATGCTCACAGATAAAACACAGAACTGAATTTTGGATAATGCGTCGTGTGATAATTTCTGAACTTAAAGATCTTATTTCACAATAAAGGGGAAGAAAAACAGATTTTGTTTATATAAATAATATTATTATTATTCATTTTCTTTTTGGGGTGGGGATTTGAGGGTTATAG